CGTAATTGATATAAGACTCAGTGGGGGAGATGAGAATATTTTTTATGCGGTGAGGTTGTTGTGATCTGGAATGTACTGCATGAAAATCTAAAGTAACTTCCAAAAGGAAATTGAATGTCTACTTGAAAAGACAATAAATTCTGGGTGATAGGGAAAAGAGCAGAGGAGTGGGTCCAATTAGATAGAACATTCGAAGTGCTGGCTCAAGCAAAATGGACTGAATGGTTTCCCTCTGGGCTGTATAATTTTGTTTATGATTTTTATTTTACACAAGCTTTCTTGGAAGGGTCCAGACCTGAAACGTCAGCTTTCCTGCTCCTCTGATGCTGCTTGGCCTGCTGTGTTCATCCAGCTCTACACCTTGTTATCTGCAATACCTCCACCTGATTTCCTTATTTAGGGAAAGATGTAAATTTATTTGAGGTGGTTTGCAGGAGTTTTACTCGATTAATATCTGGAATTAATGAGATACCTAATGGGGAGAGGTGGGCCACATTGGGCACGTTGCCACTGAAATTTAAAAGACTGAGGGTGACTTGATTAAACTGTATAATATCCTGTATAGTTGACAAGATGGTCATGGAAAGGATGTTTCCTCTTGTGAATCCAGTTAGGGCGTCTCCCATAGGACTGAGATGAAGAGAAATGTTTCCATTGAAAGGGCTTCACACTTTAGAACTCTGGGAGATCTGAAACAAACCGCAAGTGCTGGAGAAACTCAGCAGGTCCGGCAATTCTAATGAAGGAGTCACTGGAGTCGAAACGTTAACTCCGCTTTTCTCTCTAGGAATGCTGCCAGACTTGCTGCGTTTCTCCAGCACTCGTGGTTTGTTTCAGATCTATGGCATCTGCAACTCTGTTTTATTTTAGTGGATAGATTCTTCTTAGGCAAGGACATGGAAGTTTATCTGGTGTAAATGGCAATGTGGAATCAGGAACACAAATAGATCAGCCAGGATGTTATTAAATGGCAGAGCACTTTGGAAGGGCTAAATTGCCTATTTGTTTACTTATACATAAGAAAAAAACTTCGTATGTACCTTGATGTAATTTCTGTTCTATTTCTATCATATTTCCTGACAAATGTCTTCATCCTTAGACTGCCGCACAATATTTATTCTGCTTTTTTTTAATCTAGCCACTTACTTCCCCTCCTATCATGGCTACAGTTCCATTGCTGTTACTAATGTAGCCTAAACAATTAATTGTTGAAAAGCTACTTTGTCATGGCATTAGGTACATGGGACCAATCTGCTTCTGCCCTAGCCTGATACATGACTGGAAGCAAAACACTTAGACATACATATACCCTCTGCATCATTGATTAATAATTAGGAGAAGGGATTCTTGATGATTTCATTCTTTTATTGCACTCAGCATTGAATTTCTCACACAAACATCAAGGAGTTTATTGAATTTTGTTGACAAACCAAGGATTTCAAACTATAAAGATTAAAAATGCACACTAGATTTGTCTATCAGCAGTTTTACATTTATTGTCCATTCTAGCTCATCCTACTGTGTACAGGTCAATATTTTAAGAGTTGGCAAGCAGTAATAAAAATTTTAAAATACTGATTTGTTCTCAGGAAATGGATATGGTTGAGAATTCTGCACTTTTTCATTCATGTCTAATTGTCCATTTTACTATTCTTCAGCTGTAATCCATGTTGTGATGCTATTCAGACAATTGTGTGGTTGGGACTTCCAGAATATTGACTTAGTGAGAGTGATTGAATGTAGATTTATGTCTGAGTGAGACTGATGTGCAATTTGCGGGGAATGGTATCCCTGGGACATGTCTACTTGTGCTACGCGGGTGGTAGCTGGAGGCAGTGATTGTAGGATGAATCCTCAACATGCTACAGTAGCGATCTAGTGGATTTTCTGCCACTATCCTGTTTTCTGGTGGGGTTCTACAGGACCTGCTTAGTCTGGTGTGGTAGAGGAAAATCACTTGGCAGTCTAAAAAAAAACTTAAACAAAGGTGTAGTTTATTGCATGTTAACAATGTTATGTTAATGTGATAGACATTGTTACAGACACTATTGGGAAGACACAGAAGGTAAGACATTCCCTTTTGAAACTTAAGCGGTTATTAAGTGTCTAAATGGCATCATTATCATTGTCATTGATGTTTAAGACACTCCTTGGTGTTAAGCCTTTCAGAGACTTACACCACAGGAAGTGTTGTTGCAGTGAACTTTTGTGGGTTCCTGTAGTATATCCTGCTGGTCATACCGGCTGCAGTAGGTATGCAGTGGGTGGGTAATAGAGGCAATTAGCAGAGACGATTGCTGCATCCTAGATGGTGCAAACGTGTCGGAGTACTGGTATGGCTGCATTCATCCAGAGAAGTGATGAGTATTCTGTTGTATCCCTGACCTTTGTCTTGTTGTTTTTGAGGCTTTGGGGAGTCAACTGAGAAGCCAGGCTACCCCACCAGTGCTGTGCTCTTGTCTCCGTGGTGCTAAGGTGGCTGGTTCAATTGACCTATTAATCAGTGCTAAGGTATTGATGGCACAACACTCACTAATTTTCATGCCGTTGAAGGCCGGGGAAATGCTGTTGCTGAGCTACCGTTATGTAAAAATGTAACATTCTGACATTGTACATGATATGAATATCACCGACCACTTGTCAACTGAAATCTGGATATTGTCCAGCTCCTTCTGTAGGCTGCTACGGGCTGCTTTATTACTTAACCGTGTTAGAGATAATCAAAGTAGTTCTCCAAACTTTCAAAATGATCCCTAAGCTGCTCAGAGACATTGATAAAGCATTATGTTGCGATTGGGGATGCTTTGGCTTGAAACCTGTAAGTAAACGTAATTGAATTTAGCACTGAAGTCTGGGAAGCTTGGCCTGTGAATAATATGGGGTGGCTATCAGCCGTTAGCTTTAATTCAATTCCAAATCATGCTTTCCAGTAATTAACAATTATTACAAGTAAAGGAAAATATTCACTCAAACATGTTATGATTGTAGACAAAGGGATGGCCAAAAGAAAAAAAAATGAATTTTTAATCTTATTTCACTTACATGTACTAGTTAAAACAAAAGTGTTCTAAAAACAGCTTCCACAAGTTTCAGCACATTATAGAATAGTTTCAAGATGGGACAATGACCCAGATTTTGTTGGAGTTGGTTATCTCAGTACACCACATTAGATAAACCTTCCCACTGAGCATCCAGCTTGAAAATGGTTTTGCCTGCAAGTTGCTGCTGGAATTATAAGTGTTACAGATCACATGATTCCCTTTCTAGGGGAGAGAGGTTCCGTGGCATTACACTAGTGTAGATCTAGTCATTTAAAAGGTCTCTACTCTGTTAAATAAAAGCCTTATATTTTCGCAGCAAGCTTCATAAGTAATTCATGTGCATTTGGGAGATGCTGGTAATGTTTAACAGCCTGGAGATCCACATTATGCCCTGGGGATTTGACTTCAAATTACATCATGAAAGCTGAAGAAATTTAAATTTCCTAATGAATCTGGACCTATAAAGCTCATCTCAGTGACCAGGAAATTGTCATCAGTTGTCATGAAGATCCACCTGGTTCACTAAAGTCTTTTCAAGGAAAGGAAATTTGCTGTTCTTACTCAGCCTGGCTTATATCTGACTCCAGATCCACAGCAATGTGGTTGACTCCAAAGTGCCCTGTGAAATGGCCTAGTAAGCTACTCAGTCCAAGGGCAATTAAGAAAAGGCAATAAATTATGGACTTGTCAATGATGCCCATATCCTCTGAAAAAGTAAAAGAAGAATATTGCATCTTTATGAAACTTGTGGCTTTATGGTGATTTAGAATACACAGAATATCTCCATTTCACCACAAATGGCTGACATTTACACATTAATAAAATGGAGAAAATTAGTAAATCTACTGTTACTTTGACAGTAAGATCTGGTATCAGTGAGGGACATTGCACCTAATTAGTGTTATGGGCCAAACCAAACCTCAATATATATAAAGAACCTAGCCTAGAACCTAACTTATTCTCATTTTAAAAGCAAGTGCCAGGCGTTGTGTTCTGGGTACAATTCGATTGGTCAACTACCAGATATGAAGAAAACACACATTCATCCACTTAGTTAACATACAACAAAAGAAAGAAGAAATTAGCATAAACTTAACCTCTATGGGAAAACTTAACAGAATAATAGATTATTTAACTATTAAACAGTAACAATTCCAACATAGTAACATCCCTTAAACACACCCTTGACAAAGGCAAATTCAGTAAAACAGATTGTCTCGCATGCAATTCTAGCAGCAGGAACAGAACCCTCAGCTCTTAGCTGTTACAGAGAGAGGAATAAGAGTTCCACATCCAGCTTCAAGCCCCCAGCAATTGCAGAAAGCTAAGACTAAAAATCCTGGTTCTGAGAGAGCTTGGCCCCACCCATTCAGGCTGCTTCTATTGCCCAACTTTAAAAAAAACAAGGCCTCTCAAATGGTTTACTCTAGTGGCTATGAGTAGACTGCTCAATACCTCTCAATCTTTCTTAAAAACACAAACAGGACAAAATATACATCTCAGAACCATAGTATCCTCACATTAGAAGCCGTTATAGATCACACAGCAGCTGTTATCTGTTGACCATGCAGTCCTACGTTCTGTTGGACATTGGGTGTACATTCGTGCTATCGTTTTACATTGTATGTATCCAGAAAGTGCCAAAGTGCCAGTTTACTGCTGTAGTTTTCACCTGCATAAATCACATGAAAATCTTTGTAAAACTCAAACAGAAATTGTTATTCACATTGTATCCTACCCTTAGAAAATAAACGATTGTATATGTTGTTTCACAAATCACTACTGACTACTGAAAGACTTTTCTGTGTATTTTGAATATCGCTGAAAAAATGTTCTGAAAAATAGTTCAATGATATACAATACTTCACAATACTTCACGTTACAAGGACATTGAATACTGCAACCTTTTTATGGTTCTGCAGTGCTGTAAATAATTGGAACCATCTTGCTATTTTTCAGGCTTACCAATTGTCTAGAGGAAGAATCTGGGCCATGATTGTCATTCTGTGCCTTATTGCTGCCATTCTATCGGCTTTCTTGGACAATGTCACTACAATGCTTATCTTCACACCAGTAACCATAAGGTACTTGTTCTGTATTATGGTGAAATATTTTCACCACTGTAGCAATATTTTTCCATTCTCCTGATGGTCAGTTGGGGGTGTGGATTGGAAGAGTCAATTGGAGTTTGAATAAGTTAAACAAAAAAAAAATCCAAAGGACTGCAGATGTTGGAAACCAGAAACAAAAGCAGAAATTGCTGGAAAAACTCAGCAGGTCTGGCAGCATCTGTGGAGTAAAAGCAGAGTTAACATTTTAGGTTCAGTGATCCTTTTCCAAAACTGGAGCTAGGAGGAGGTTGGTATATATGAAGATGGGGTGGTGTGAGTGGGAGTAAACAATAGGTGGAGATGGAGCCCAGAGAGTGAGAAAAGCAGTTGGGCAGACAAAGGAATGGGTAAAGGTCATCCTGGGAGAATCAATAGCTGCTAATGGGACACCATTAGTGGCTGACAATGGGTTGTTTGTGGAAGCGGCCCATGTGATGAGAAGGCCTGGTGTGTGGGGTTGGGGTAAGGACATGGGAGAAGGTGCTCAGGTCCTAAAATTATTGCACTGTGCCTAATCAGTTTTGAAGAAGGGTCACTGGACTCAATACGTTAACTCTGCTTCCTCTCCACAGATGTCGCCAGACCTGCTGAGTTTTTCCAGCAATTTCGTTTTTTGTTTATGAATTGCTTAAAGGTGGCTTGGCCCTTCCAAGGGACACACCAGCAAATTAATGACAATTTGCTTTAATGTGGCAACCTACCATGAAGGATTAGTCCTTTTCCCTGTAACCCTTAGTTCTGTCGTTAATAGGAAGCTACCAGTTTCAGATTTGCATTTAACAATTAAGCTAACATCAACATTTTGTAAGAGAGTTCTAAGGGTCTACCATTCTTTATCCATATTCCCACCCACCCTGATTACCTCTCACCCACTTGCTTATCAAGAATCTATCTAACCAGTCTTAAAAATATCCAAAAACTCTGCATCCACCATCTTTGGGAGAAGAATTCTAAAGACTCATGAGTCTCTAATAGACAAATTTTCCCCATTTTTCTTTTAAATGCACAACTGCTGGTTTTTCAATAGTGACCCAAGTCCTAAATTCTTCCAAAAGAGGAAGCATCCTTTCCGTATGCCCCCTGTTAAGGCTCCTCAGGATCTCATTTCAATCAAGTTGCATCTTTTTCTTCTAAAATCCAGAAAAGACAAACCTTGTTGCTAATATCGCAACCCTCTTTCCTCTTAGCACAACACCTTCATTCCAGGTATTAGTCTATTAAATCTTTTCTCAACTGTTTCCAACACATTTATCTCCTTCTTTAAGTAAAGCAAACAGTAATGTGCACAATACTCCAAATGTAGTCTCACAAAGGCACTGTATAGATGAAGCATAACCTCCCTACTTCTTTATTCAATTCCCCTTGCAATAAACAATAATGTTTTAAAGAATCAATCTTTAACTTTCTAAATACCATTGAATACAACTCCAGTTTGTTTAACTTCTCCCTGGAATTTGATCCTTCAGTTCAGGAATCATTCTGGTAAACCTACACTGTACTATGTCCAAGATCAATAGAATCCTCCTGATCTTTGGAGCTTAGACCTGATTATATCACCCCAGATATGGTCTAACCAGGACTTAGCCAAAGCTTGCCTTCCATCATTTCTTAATCTTCATTATAGTTAATTAAATGATAATAATGTTATGATGTGATGGTACCAGTCCTGCTTAGTATTACTGTCAATTTCTGTTTTTGTTCCAAATGTTCACAGTACTTATTGTTTAGATAGCTAGAACTAAAACCAATTGTATTGTGTATAGTTCTGGGTGCCACCTCTTAGGAAGGATGTGAATGCATTGGAGAGAATCCAGAAGCAATTTACAAAGAATGTTTCTGGAGATGAAAATCTTCAGTTATGAGGTTAGATTGAAGACATTGGGACTGTTCTCCTTGTAGAAAAGAAGACTGACAGGAGAATTGATTGAGATATTCAAAATCATGGATGGGAATGGATAGACTGGGTAGGGCGAAACTGTTCCTACTTGTAAAAGGAGCAAGAATAAGAGGGCATTGACTCAGTGATTTGCAAAGGAGCAAGGTTGTTAGGAGAAAACCAAACCTTTTCACGAGTGAGTAGTTTGGGTAGGGAATGTGCTGCCTGTAAGTGTGGTGGAAGTGAAGCATTCAAGAGGGCATTGAATAATTCTTTCACTTGGGTGGCACAGCAGCTCAGTGGTTAGCACTGCTGCCTTACAGTGTCAGGGACCTAGGTTCAATTCCAGCCTTGGGCCTCCGAGGAGGTTGCATGTTCGCCTCATATTTGAGTGGATTTCCTCCAGGTGCTGTGGTTTCCTCCCACAGTCCAAAGATTATACAGGTTATGGGGACTGGCTATGCTAAATTGCCCATAGTGTCCTGGAATGTGCAGGCTAGGTGGATTAGCTATGGGGAATGCAGGGTTACTGGGATAGGGTGGGGGTGGGAGTCTGGGTGAGATGCTCTTCAGAGGGTCAGTGTGGACAGAATGGCCTGCTTCCACACTGTAGGGATTCTATTAAAAAACATGTGCAAGAACATGCAGGAAATTGCCAATTAATTGGTGCTAATTGGAACAGTCAGTGCAGGTGCAATGGGCTGAATGGCCTCCTACTGTGCCATAAGACTTCTGTGATTCTGTTTTTATAAAATTTGACCATAGGACGTCAGAGTTGCTAGCTAGGCCAGCATTTATTGCCCATCCATAGCTTCCTAGAGGGGCAGTTAAGAATCAACTGTATTGCTTTGGGTCTGGAGCCACATGGAGGCCAGATCTGGTAAGGGTGGTAGATTTGCTTCCCTAAAGGACATTAGTGAACCAGATGGGTTTCTATGACAATTTTGCAGAGGTTAGGCTAGTTTTTTATTGAATTCAAGTTTCACTATCTGAACTTGTGGAATTTGAGCCCGTGTTCCCAGAATGTTAACCTGGCCTGCTGGATTTTTAGCCAAGTAACATTGCTATGAGATCACCAGCTTCCCCACTCTGATAGAACCGAGAGGTGTACCAGCTTCCCTTTATAGACTTCTGGGAAAAAAGCAGCGAAATCCCAGAATGCAGAGATCATCTTAAAATTAATTTGTTATGTTATAACTTTAAAGGTACTCGGGACTTGCAGATTGCACCTTTTTTGGTCACCCTGTGATATTTGTTAAATATCAGAAGTTAAATGCTGTAAATGCTGATTAGACAGAGTCAAATCATATACTGTTTTAGTCAGAGTTTTTATCTCAGCTCATGCACTACAAACTCCAACTCCATTGATTACTTGTTCCCCATACCCATCACGTGTTCACCCAATTATCTTTTAATTAACATATAACCATTGCCTCTTCCCTATTTCCATTTGGTCTCAGTCAAAATAATAACAATATTACAGTGTGCTTCTGCTTGTGGATTAACATTAAGCTGAATGGTTCCTGCATGATAATGTATAACTTAAATGGCCAATGTTACAGTAAAGCACTTTTGTGGTATAGTTGGAATAAATACCTACAGTCAAGAAGGAAATGTAAAATCTGCAGGTGTACATTGGGTGAGTATTGGTAAAAAAAAATTGGAATATGTCACGATAAATAATGGAGAAATTATTTATCTGCATAGATGTGAACGTTAATATTTTGACATAATGAAAATGCATTGAGTGCGATTGAACTAGCACATGGTTTAGATTACGTCATTATGTTTCCATAGGCCAATCTAAGCAAACATGATGCGCAGTCAGTTTAAGGCAATTTAATAAGTATCGAGGGGATTGTGCAAAGACTAATGTCTCTCATTTGAAGGAAAAATGTTTGACCTAAACGGTATTTGTTTCTGGAAAGGTGTGATCCCTGACTGTGTAAATTTGTCTTGCATATGAACAGAAGAAATAAGAGCAGAATTTGGCCAATTGGCCATTAAACTTGCTCCTCTATTCAATAAGGTTATTTCCAAATATCAACTCCACTTTCCTGCCTGGTTACCATATTCACTCAGTCCCTTGATGCTCAGGCATCTTTCAATTTAATTCTTTGATGTATTCAAAGACTGAGCAACCACAGTTCAGGTACCTAGTTCATTGAATGTTGTGTTACAGGTAGACAGAGTGATAAAGGAGGTGTTTGGTACACTTGCCTTCATTGTTCAGACCATTGAATATAGGATTTGGGACGTCATGTTGCAGTTGTGCAAGGTGTTGGTGAGGCCACTTTTGGAGTACTACATACAATTCTGGTCACTCTGCTATAGGAAGAATATTATTAAATTGGAAAGGGTGCAGAAAAGATTTAAGGATGTTAGCAGGACTGGTGGATTTGAGATATAAAGGAGAGGCTGGATATGCTGGGATGTTTTTCATTGGAGTGTAAGAGATTGAGGGGACCTAGTAGAGGTTTATAAAATCACGAGGGGCATAGTTAAGGTGAATAGAAAATATCTTTTCCCTAGGGTAGGGGATTCAAAACTAGAGGGCATAATTTTAAGGAGAGAGGAGTCATATTTAAAAAGGGACCTGAGGGGCAACTTTTTCAGAGGGTGATTTGTATGTGAAATGAACTGACAGAGGAATTGGTAGATGCAGGTACAGTTACAATGTTTAACAGACATTTGGAAAAGGAAATGAATAGGAAAGATTTAGAGAGATATGGGTCAAACGCAGGCAAATGGGACTAGTTTAGTTTGAGAAACTTGGTTGGCATAGACTAGTTGGACTGAAGGCTCTGTTTCCATGCGATATGATTCTGACTCTACAAGTTCATTGGGGTAGAGAATTCCAAGTATTCACAACCCTCTGAGTGAAGACATTACTCCTACATAAGAACTAAAAGCAGGAGTAGGCAATTGAGCAGCCCCTTGAGCCTGCAATCTGTGACCCCTTATCCTAAAATTATGACCTTTCAATTTAAGATTGCTCCACTCATGTCATTCTTATGAGGATGTGATTCCTAGTTCTACACTCTCCAATGAGTGTAATAAACCTACCAGCATCGATCCTGTCCAAGAACTTTATACT